CTGGTAATACTTCGTTCAGTTACGTATTGCTACTAAGTCTTTTTGTGTGTTATTGAATTAAGGGCATTTGATTTTTACCTCTAATAGTTTTATAAATTATAGTTATAATTATAGTTATAATTATATTATATATAATAATGTAGTATAATATATGTATTATGCATAATATTAATATATAGGTATATATTTTTATTTTTAATATATATAGACCTTATACTTTATATATATTCACTGATTATAAAATGATTAAAAGTAATCTGACTAAAGAAAATAAAACAAAATTAGACAATATTAAAATGTATTCTATGGACGTCGTCTAATGACATTCAAATAGAGTTAATATCTAATGAAAATGAAGTTACTCCTTCAACTGAATTTTAAATGTTCTTCCTACAAGTACATGCAAAACAGACCAATCACAAGTAGAACCAAATTCAATATTTGTCTGAGGTAGTTCCTATAGAATCTTTCCTTTTTGGCACATCAAATGAAACATCAGAAATGTATGAAATAACAGAACAACCAAGTTTGATGAATAATACCTTTAACGATGATTTAAGTTCATGGGCTATTGAATGCAATGTACAAACTAACAGTTAATAAATTATTAAATATAATTAAAAATATGAAGTTATTAATGCAAGATCTACTAGGGATACTAGAACTCCTATTAGCTACACCAAAACGACCAAAATTATTCGTGATGTCCACCTAATACGATATTAGGAAAAATTTGAAAAAGTTTTGGAAAAAGTCCCAGTGAAAAAGTCCCAGTAAAAGTCCACGGAAAAAGTCCCGGAAAAAGTCTCCAAAATTAATATTTGATTTAAATTCAGTTTTTCATCTTATTATAGATATTTATAATTTATAATTTATATAAATAGATTTACATCTTATGCTGACATGAGATTTCATACAAATATATATATTAAAAATTATAAAGCATTCTATAATTTAATAAATATTTAAAAATTATAAAAATGATCTTTTCTTATATTTTGACCGATTTGCTTTAAAAATTAGGTATATCTTTAGATTCGTCCTCGTCAAACCTGACATAAAATGTTCAATCGAACTTCAATTTTTACCAGCTTTTGTTTTTCCATTAATTTCTCTAAGCTCAGCCAATGCCGTCTTGCCTTGTCCGTTCCAACTTCTTGACACATTTTTAGTAATTTCCACTGGGATGTTTAATGCCGACAGAGATGTAAACCTATTGTTCAACCCTCTAAGTATTAGTTCACTGCGGATTTGTTGACAGAGTTGTTAAATTAATGTTCCATGATTCTGGTACAAACAATGGTTGGTGTTCTTCTTAAAATTAGATTGTTTGTTTTAACTTTCTAAACGTACCTCCGACATAATTTTCATCAAAATACTGTAGTAGATTTTCTCCGCTCCAGTTGGACAATTTTGTTTTAAATAATTCATCCCCTCACAAACTTTATCTACAGGTAGAAAAGCTAATCCATCCATCATAGCACAATATAAATTAAAGTTTTCGTCTTCTTTATACCGTTTACTCAAGCCCAGGTTTTGTATTTTTCTATAGTGCTTGGGATAATGATAGCACCACAATTGAAATGTGTTCACCAAAACTTTTAGCAGCTTTGTGAACGCCGATTTCAAATCAACGATGATAAATAATGGTCTGAAGAAATTCGCGATTGTTACACTCCATTCAAAATTATTTTTGAACATTTTCTTCATAAGTGTTTTCTGTGTTTTCACTTTCGCTCAAGATGCAGCAAAACACTGGCGTAATAAATATCATTTGCGATTCGAATGACGTATAGTGTCGCATAAAATGCTCGGGCGCAACGCAAAGTTCCATCAATAAACCAGGTATCGGCATTGCTAAGCTGTTCTAATATGACTATCTACGCAAAATTATATCCGTTCACTTGACTCTGGACCAGTGTCTTTCAATAAAACGCTCCATTCCCTAACGTGCAATCATCTAAAACCATAATACAAATAATGATAATTTAATTAAAAATGCAATAGGTATTTTATTTATAAACTTTATTTGCATATTTCTGTGTTTTGACGTTTTTAATTTTTGTATTGTAAGATTCTGAACAAGTGATGGTAATGTAATTTAATGATGTGTTTTGTTCGACCAAATTGTTTTTATGGTTGTAATTCAAAAACTAATCACTGAAAATACATGAAATTTCACAAATTTTATATCAGTGGTATCCGTATATAGTTAAATTTTCAAAAAATTTTGACTTTTTTGAGTTATTTATAGACCACTAAAATTTTCGATTTTTTTGAGAAATTTTTTTTAAAGTGTCGAAAAAAAATGTTTGGATGACCAAAAAGTTTTGAAAATTTAATACAAGGTTCCTTATGAGTTGTTTTTAATGTAGCTAAAAAAAATTAAAAATCGTTAGTCACAATTTTTTTTTATAAGCGTTTTTAGTTCAAATTTTTACGAAATCTGTCGAAAACGCGAAAATTTGCAAGTAATTTTGAAGTTGAAAAATCATAACATTTTTTGTGTTTATAACTAAGGATTAAAAATACAACACTAAGTTTTCCATAAGTTTACCTTTAAGTATCTATAGAGAAAACTCGAAGCATCATTATAGGAAAAATTTTAAGTGCGTTTAAATTTTAAATTTTAACGAAATCGCGTAACGATAACGATTTATACTCAAACGATTTTAAATATTTGTTATTATTCAAAAAGTATAAGTCGTAGATACTTGAAAATTTTACCAGTCATTAAAATTCGCGTTTTCTTTACGTGATTTAAAGTTCAAAATATTTTGACTTTTTTTGAGCTATTTATAGACAATTGAAATTTTCAATTTTTCTGAAAATTGTTTTTTTATGTGTCGATTAAATCTTTTTGGCCCTATCAAAATACTTGAAAATTTAATGCAAAGTTCCTCATAAGTTATTATTATAGTGATTAAAAAATTGTAAGAATACATAGGCAACCTAACCTAGGCCTGAATACAACAAAATTTAAGTTCTTTTATAATAATTGTAAGCTAAACTTATGAAAAACCTTGTATTAAATTTTCAACTCTTAGCTACTTATACGAAAATTTTTACGAATTATACCTACAAAATAATTTTCAAATATATTCATGATTTTGACGAAATTTTGTCAATATTTGAACTTCAAATGCTAATAAAAAAAAAACGTGGTTATGTATTCTTATAGTTTTTTAATCACTATAAGAACTTACGAGGAACTTTGTATTACATTTTCAAGTATTTTTATAATAATAGGTAATGCAAATTACCTTCAATAACAAGTTCTTGTAAACTATTTGGTATTTTCGGGTTTAAGCTGCTTCGTTGGTTACGAATACTTCTTTTTATGGAATCTTCGGATGGTAGTTCAATTAATACCTCCTTTGGTACACTTTGTACAGCTTGGGCAAAAATTTGTCCTGGATTGTTACAAGTCTGAAGCGAACATTCTTTTATCTTTTGTTTAATTTTCATAGCTCCTATTGCACCTTTATTAGCACTATGACAGTGTTCTTCTTCAAATCGTACTATTTTTGTCATCTTCAAATCAGTAATTAATATTGCTGGACATTTCATTGACGATTTTTTGGAACATTTCCATCGGATTATACTTTGGCATGTCTTTTTTATAGTATAAGTATACCCGTCTAGGGCAATTTTATCATTTCCCTTGTTTGATTTAAGAAGTTCCATGGTTAAACACTCAAACTACACTCACGTACAACTCGAAACTAATACTAAATTATTACGTATGATAGGTAACCTGTATATTATTTTATGTGTGTAACTGTCAAATTTTAGATTTTGTCAATTCATTATCATGTAGGTACTGTCTACAGATAAGATTTGTCAACCCAATTTAGTTTATAAATAAAATAACAAATATAGTGGAAATATCATTTTATTTATACTGCAACGGGAGGCTTTTTAATTTATTAAATTTTTAATTATTTTTGTTGTATATTAATTATACGACATATTTTACATATCTTTTATATCTGAATAAACACATTTTTATATTTTTTAAATATTATTATTATAGATGTTTAAGATATTATATTATTTTGTACCTATGTTAATTATCTTCAACAAAATATGTAAGATGTATGTAACCTATTTATATAAATTATAAATATACCTATAATATGATAAAAGACTGAATTTAAATCAAATATTAATTTGGAGACTTTTTTTCCGAGGACTTTTTTTCCGTGGGACTTTTTTACCGGTGACTTTTTCACCGGGGACTTTTTTTCCGAGACTTTTTTTCCGGGGACTTTTTTTCCGTTTACCACCCTGGCCATTATTATCATTTTGGATTGGCAGCAGGTATAAGAAAATATGGGACAACTAAATTAAGTGAGATTGAAATTGCCATTGGAATTGATGGTCTCCCTCTATCAAAAAGCAGTAATGGCCAATTTTGGCCTATATTAGCATTTATCATAAATAATATTACAAAAAAGGTTTTTCCTGTCGGTGTTTACTATGGAAGAGCTAAACCTAGTGATAGCAATGATTTTTTAACAGATTTTATTTCAGAAGCAAAACAACTTATAATTAATGGTATTGTTCTAAATGGTGTTTGTAAAAAAGTATCAATTAAAGTTTTTGTATGCGATGCTCCAGCAAAAGCATTTTTACTAAAAATCAAAGGCCATTCAGGTTTTTCTTCTTGCACCCGGTGTGTCCAAGAAGGTGAATATTTTAAAAATCGTGTGTGTTTTCCATACTTGGATCAAAAATCAAATGAAAGAACTCATGATACATACATAAATATGCTGTATGAAGAGCATCATATTGGAGAAATGTCAAGACTTGTGGAATTACCTGGATTAGATTTAGTTCAATCGTTCTCTTTAGACTATATGCACTTGGTCTGTTTGGGAGCTGTTAAAAAATTAATTCTACTTTGGATGCATAAAGGACCATTGTCTGTACGTCTTTATAGTCGTAATGTTAATAAAATTACTTCATCATTACTAGATTTAAAATATTATATTCCTTCTGACTTTGTTAGAAGAACAAGAGAAATTCAAGAAGTGGGCAGGTGGAAAGCCACCGAGTTGAGGCTGTTTTTGCTATACATAGGGACCAGTTGTATTAAAAAATATTGTCAATGAAGATGTTTACACCAATTTCATGGCTTTACATGTTTCCATGTTGATACTTTTAAGTCCTGATTACAGTCAATATGTTGATTATTCGAAACAGCTTTTGAATTATTTTGTCCAAACATTTGAAATATTATATGGCCGTCAACATATTTCGCATAATATTCATGGGCTATTGCATTTATCAGATGACTATGAACACTATGGTCCTCTTGATAATAGCAGCGCATTTGTATTTGAAAATTTTATGAAAGAGTTGAAATCTAAAGTTCGTAAACATGATAAGCCACTTGAACAAATAATAAATCGTTACACTGAAGTATATAATAAAATACCAACAAGTATACCGCAAAATCCAAAACCATATATTACATCCAAACCACATACTAATGGGCCATTAATTAACAATATTGTTGGAATTCAATTTCAAAAATTGCAAATAGGCCATATTAAACTAAATATAGCTATTGACAAGGAAAGTTATTTTTTAACTAAAAGCAGAGAGGTTGTTAAATGTTTGAACATTGTACAAAATCAAAATCACATAATACTTATAGGAAGAATTTTTGAAAAGAAAAATGCATTATATAAAAATCCAATTAATTCTAAGTTATTTAATATTTTTATTGTTAGCAGTCCTTCTAAAAGTTTAAAATATTGGAACTATTTTGAAATTGATAAAAAAGTCATGTTGTTAAATCAAAATAACCTACTCATATCAATGCCTTTAATTCATACATGAATAATTCATATTTAATATATATTAATCTATTTAGTTTATAATTATTTTATTATTTTTGTATTGCTGTTATTATTAATTGTTGTCTAATTTTCTAGTTATTAATTTTAATTTTATATATTTAATGTTGCTAGTGTACTAGTGTAGCATAGCAAAATGTCTAGCAAAATGTGGATTGTTGTACATTTTATTAAAGAGAATTCAATTGAGGCAGTTCCTTATACATGGTATAATAGTAAAGAACAAAAATGTGCATGGCCATTATCAAAAAACTCTGTTAAAAGAATGATAGAAAAAAGGATCTATCCAAACAAGTTAGAATTCAAATGGTTTTCGGCTAGAATTCTTGGACATCCTTACAGTAAGAAACTAAAAAATAAATATTTTACTTCAACTTTAATGTTATTAAGTTATTGTTTACTTAATTATTATGTGTTACATTTTAGCTAGTTTATTTGAAGCTCGTTCCAAAGGAAAAAAAGCCCAGTTTTTATCAGATTTATCTTCTGAAAATGAAGATTATGTTATTAATAGGAAAACAAAATCCACAAAGAAAGATACAATAAGTTCTTCAATGACTTCCCTTATTCCAAATCCTCCATCTTTAGTTACAGGTAAAACAATTTTTTAATACTTATATATTTTCTGTTATACATATATCACTGTTATACTATTATAGTATTTATAACACTTAAAAAAATGAATTTATCATTTATAATTTTAGGTAACTTAAGTCCAAGTTTATATACAGTATGCACATACAAACATTATGTAAAACATTATGTAAAATTAAATTCTAACATTTTTAAGAAATATGCAAAATATGTAATTGTTATTCAAGATTTATGAGTTAATAATATGAATTTTAACATTAAACTTAAACAAAAACTATATTATTATAGGTACAAAAATATAAGAAACGGAAAATATTTTCCTATAAATATGTCATAATTGATCAATTGTTATTATTGATTCATAATCTATTTTCTTTGCTGAAAAAAATAATGTTTTAAATCATATTTTCTACAAAATATGCATTTATATTTTGCAGAAAAAAACTGTCAACTTATTACTTACATATGAAAAAGCATACAAATTCAGACTTTAATTAATAATAACATTATATATTTAAATCATTTTTTAATACTTACCAACTATTAATAAGTAATTAATTTAATTTATAGGTGTTACCTTTAATATAATATAATTTATATTGTTTATATTATATTTAAAAAAAAAAAAATATTAATTTGTATAGGAAAGAAAAACACTTCCAAAAATGTAGAATTTAATACTGTTTTAGAATCTGAAATCGACATGACTGATTCTGACCCAGATTACCAACCAGAAGATGTAGTAAATGGTATGTTACCTAACTTATATATTTAACTGTAATTGATATAATTTGGTAATATTTGTATGCAGTTAATATGACACCAGTGAAATCACCAAATACATTCAATAATACATCAGTGAAATCACCAAATACATTCAATTCACCAATGAAATCACCAAATACATTCAATTCACCAGTGAAATCACCAAATACATTCAATACACCAGTGAAATCACCAAATACATTCAATATGCCAGTTGAATCACAATATAATTTCAATAGTTACTACATAAAATCACCAATTGGTAAAATTCTTGTTGAAAATGATGGTCTTTCGACTAGTGTTCTCCAAAAACATTTTAGTGGTAAACCATTATCCCAGAATACAATAATGAGTACTCCAGTTGAAACAGTAAAAACTTATAAACGAGCATTATTTATGTCTGAACCACCACAGAAATCTATTAAAGGTATGATTATCATCTAACTATAAATCCAATTAACCTTTTTTTTTTTATTTTTTTCAATTATTTAATTTTTTAATAATGCATTGTGCTTTTTATTACATATTACAGATACTGTTTTGATTTCTAAAACAAACTCAAAACGCACAATTAACAAGAAAAAAGAAGATGATTATTCAATGCCTCCAGCTGGTATGTATTTAATATTAATATTATATATATATATTATTTCATTATTTATTTTTTGAAAACATTAAAAATTATAACAAAAATTAAAATTGTGTACTAATTTTCTAACTCTTGTTTTTAATAGACTGATAAAACTGAACTGCGGAATTTCAGTTGAAGAAAATACTACAGCTCTCCCCCAAAAAATATCTAAATCTGCCTCTGTATCAAGTTAAAAAAAATGTTGAAATTGTTTGTTTGTTTGTAAATAATATTTAAAATAAAAATAATCCAATACTATAATAACACAAACATTTCTGTTATTGTCTTGATAAAATAATTTTTTAAAATATAGATATATTTTAGTAAACTAAATAGCCATAAAGCCATAAAATATACACAATTACATTATTATTATTATATTAATATGTTTGCAGTACAAATAATAATTATCGATTTTGAAAATAAGGGCAGTAACCAAATGCTGGAAATTAGAGAACAAATTCTAAAAATTACTTGAAAATTAAATTGTATAAAAGAATTTTAAATATAAACATAAATAAATACATATATATAAATATTATATCACATATCACTTACTGTACTTTGGGTCTAGTCCATATTTATTATAAAATAAAATATTGGGCGGATAGTGGTGCCCCCTTAATTGATGAACAATGTCATAATATTTTTCAAACACTTCGGCGTCACTGCTATACAATAAAGATAAAAGTTCAATACAATCGCTTATTATAATTTAGGAAATTATAAAGAACTCAGTTAATCTTCATAATAGCACATACTAATTAAAATAAGAGATTAACTTTTTTTAAACTGAGCTAATTTAATATTATTTTCTATATTAACATTTAACTTATCGAGTTAAATTTATGTTTTGTTAACTGTTAACTTCTAACGTATCGATCTTGTGTTCTCTTAACTGAATATTTTTTAATCATGTTTTATATAACCTATATAATGTGTTATACTTTCAACTATTAAGAACTTACTAAAAATTTAAAGTATTAATAAACTACCCCGCCAGTGCACAGAAAAAATATGTTTTTTATTAAAT